GTTCTAGTTTCAGCCACAAGGTTTTTTCAGAACTAAATTACTTATTTTATATTTGTTCTCCCTCAAATGCATATTTCCCGAGCTTATCTTCCTCCAGACCACTTTTTTCACTTTAAATATAACCTCTCTTGGGGGCTGGGGACTTAGCTTAGCGGCACAGCGCCTGCCTGGCAAGCGCGAGGTCGTGAGTTCAATTCCCAGTACCAGAAAAAAAAAACAATAAATAAATAAATAAATAAATAAATAAAGCCTCTCTTGTGTCTTGAATCACTTATGATTAACTAGATGAAACTATCAGTACACAGATCCCTCCAACCCAGGTACAGTAGTATTTTTAAAAAGTTCATGTGGGAAGAAAAATATGATAAAGCAATTGTATCAGTCACATCAACAGATATTGGCGACACCAGAGTGTCACGATGCAGGAGGTCAAAGACCACTGTGCCGTGCACTAAGAGTCACCGTGCAACTAATCTGGGGCAGTTCTGGTTGTGCCATTAGGACCACGAGTGCTCCGGTCTCAAGATAACTCCATTATCCTCGGATCATTGCCACGATAGACCCAAACAACTCCAGTCTATCGTGTCAATGTGTATTTGGGGAGTCTTTACCACATGGATCATTGGCAAGCTGCACCATAACAGCCCTGTAGGAGCCATGGCCATGCATGGAATCAATGCACACTCGGGGACTCCCCGTGCCTGGATCATTTGCAGCGCATCGTGTCAATGCATACTCCGGGACCCCTTACTCCTCAGCCTGCGAGTGCTGAGGCCCCATGTACACCAAAAATACTTGTGAAATAGTTGTTACAGTGCATACACAGTATTCACTTTTCTAAATGGCATGTCAGCAAGTTTAGTGTGCCACAAATAACTCCTAAAAGACACAAAACACTCCTAGAGGGCCAGCTTCATACACGGACAGTTGGCCCGTGGAATTGCGGCACGGCTGTGGGGAAGAGCAAACAAAGGGAAAAGGAATAGATAGTTTTACCACGTAAACCACTGCCTCTGCTCAGGATTTTTCATATAAAGCCAACTACTTACTAATTATTTTTCTGGGCATTTGATGCCTAAGACCCAAAGGCCTTCCTTGTGTCTCTCTGTACCAAACCATCTAGAGAGCTAGGTGAGAAGGCAGAGTTAGAGCGAGAGCTCCTCGGGTCTGCGTTCTCCTCACTAGCGCTGTCCAACACAGTACACGAACCACATATGTCATTTTACATGTTATCTGTAGCCACGCTTTCTCAAAAGGAAAAAGAAACGTTTAATTGATTCTAGTACTATATTTCATTTCACTCAATATATCCAAAATATTATTGAAACAATCAGTCAATACTTTAAAAGGATTAACGAGAGGGTTATAATTTCCTTTCCATGCCATACGGAGTCGTCTTTGCAACCCAGTGTGCATTTTGCACGCGGAGAGCGTCTCCAGGTGGACCGGCCACACTTCCGGTGCCAGGTGGTCAGGTCTGTCCCGGTGGCCGCACAGCCGAGAGGCCTAGGGAAATGAGTCCTGGAGCTTAATGCTCATTGTCTCCCTTCAACTGCCTATCTCAAGGCAAGTGTGTGTCTGTCTTTCCACCTCATTTCCTTACCAGCGCTGCGACAGCCTTCTCCTAGCAGCCTGAGTGGATGGGCACGTTTAGGTTTTTATAATCATAAAAATGACCACAAATATGCATACAGAAGAGGGAAGAAAACGACTCCGGGCCCATGCGATAATGCAGTATTAGGTCATCTTTCTTGGAAATGGAGCTGAAGGGGAGAGGAGGGGCTGGCTGCGGGGAGAAGGGAAGGAGAGGGCGGGCAGGGCAGGAGGGTGAGGGTGGTGGCCTAGCCGCCACTAAAAGTGCCGCCCGCAGGGCAAGGGGCCAACCATCTCATGGCGGGGTTTGCCGGGTCACTGGCAGTCACACCCGCGAGGGTCCTTGGTATCCGGGGCTGAGATTTGCCAGACACACAAAGCGGGAGGGAGGAGAGGAGGGAGACGCAGACAAAGACCTCGCGAGCCGGGAAGCGGGCGCGGGAGCGGGGCGCCCGCGGCTGTGGGGGAAACGGGGCGCGGAGGCGGCGGGGGC